GGATCGACTAATCAAAAAAAAAAATACCTTCGTTTTGCCTATGTATAAGCGAGAATCGATTGCTATTTCAGGCTACGGCCTAAATAAAAGCCTATGAGAGATGAATATATACTATGATCGATTTTAGCCTCTTTCAAGCACACTGAGGTATCGTCATCAGCAGATGTTGTTACTATACTTAATCGAAATGTTACCTTTGTTCTTCCATTAATACACCTACCCACTATATAGAGTCTGTGTTGACTCATTCGAGTACGGTTCACTTTGTTGCAGTTGTGCGACTATATAGAAGCACTGTTTTATGCTAGTCGAAACTTAGTGTTATAACAGTAACTTCAATCGGTTTCTAACGTCGATCTCACCTACGCAACTATGTAATCATTAAATTCGTAATTTGAAGGAGAACATGAGGTATAGATAGATATACTTCGCGGCGATCAGCCGCTTTACAAGTTTGGTGATAAGTGAGTTACGATTGCTATGAGTGAAATCCTTGTTCAATAATCTGTTATTTTTTTAAATTAATCTTAAAGAGAGCCGTATCTTTTCGTAGCTGGGCAGTGTAGCGCTCCGCAACTGTTGGCCATATATACACACACTGCTTTCGTAGCGCTATGGTGGACCAAACGTTTTTTAACAGTTGTATAATCTATTCTCATATCGAACGCGTGCATGTTTAAAGAGACCAATGGCGGCTAGGAAAAGTTCCGCTGCGTCCAAAAATCTCTAACTGTATTAAATATTCCGTCCGCTATCGATATTAGGCATTCCTCCAGCGCGAAACGAATTTCGGGCTTGAAACTGCCCCATGATATTTGCAGGCTAATCCGTCACCCAGTCAATGTCATTACGTAAAATCTTCCAGATTTCATTTTTGTTCGAACCCTTATCAGCCTCTGAAATTTCGGCTATTTCAGTGAAAAGTCACAGAGGTCTATGACGTTAAACTGGTGTTGCTAATAACTGTAGCACCCTTGCAATCATCACGATATTTTCATCTGTCTTTCTATGGATTTTAATAGATGAAAATTTTCTGCCCAAGTTCTTGATAGCCGTTTTTTGCGTGTTAGGCTATCTTCCACATATATAGATAGACTGAACTTGTAACGTACTGTGGTGACGTTCTAGCCTAGCACTATTTTCAAACGAGCGCTGCAATAATTTCTCATCAACCAGATCGCATCTACAATCAAGCAAATAATTTGGTTGCCATAACATAGTTAAGCGTTCGATCGTCAGTAGTTCTAGGACGCGGACGATTTCCTTACAGCGACCTGAATCCGTGCAAACGTACCGTTTGCCTGGGCCCGGGAAGTTCTGAGTTTTTCTCGAAGTCCTTGAAGCGTTGTACAAAAATTATTGTGAGATCGTGTAAAGACCCCTTTGTGTAAAACTATTTCAAAATCGACACTTGAACAACGGAAGATCATTGTGAAACTTCCCGTAAGCCGTACCTGCTTGCCTCCTGTTATCCTGCGACTATTTTTACTAAGTCTTAGTTCTATATTTAAGGCATATTCGATGTGAAAATATTATAGCTGAGAAACAATTTTGATATATTCCCATCTAGCACAGCGGAAAATTTTGACAAGATACATAAAATTTAGGTAGATGTCCATTATGTTTGGTATTTTTTCATCTTGTCGTGCATTAATTATATCATCCGAAAAGCCAAAACTCTTTCACAACAGACTCGTTCTCGACCTGCAACAGTAATTCTAGTTTTTCTCTTTAAATTGATATCTGGATGGGTAGATCCGGCGCTCTTGGGAACAAGCCAAATAACGCTATCACTATGGATCCGTCACTAAATGCCGCTGTACAATGATGAATGCTGGTCATTGATGTGCCTTAGATGTTTAATTATTTTACACATCGAAGACGCTCAGCAAACCTAATTCTCTCATTTTCAAATGACCGACCGCCAAGGTTGCCGGCTTGTCTAACAATATTGAGGTGTTACGGCTAAACAACATTTTTTTTTTGTCACACGCACGTTGGCAGAACTTCAGTCGAGTCGATCTTTAATAAGATATCCATCGGCTCCAACGCGTTAGGTACTTACCGTTTTCAACCATATTCTGGCCAGCGGATCCCTTTTAGCAGCAGTGGCACCGAGATCGCTCAAACTCATCAATGATGTGTGGTAAATGCTATTTATCGTAAATAAGCCTTTCTCTTTTGATCTGTATCTATTTCAACGTCTACGAGGGTTCGCCCAGCTTTTCTTTGAATTGATGGCTAAAACATTTGGTGGTCGTTTATCGCAAATCTTACTTTGGACGCTGTCGTCATTCCAGGGGGGCCCCGGACTGTGTTGTAGTGCTGGGAATAGCGTTGCGGTTACTTGTTGTTGTGCTGTTCCGTATAATTTCCACGTTTCGACCTCGCGTCTTCAACACAAAACAAAACAGATCTGCTACGGTTTGGCGCGAGTCGCCCCTGACACCATACCGGAAAATAGTAGGAATTTTCAGTTCGAAACCACATACAGTCAAAATATTGAAGCACTTCTTCTATGGGGTTGCGGAAAGACTCACTAAAGTCAACCGCTATGGGCGGGATCTCTATTATTACCTGGCTATTACTTACGTCTTTTACTATCAGTTCGGTCGAATGCGGATGTCGTCGTCGTCGTCGTCAATTCCATTGGGACCCTAAACACGGCAATTAGACCGCTTGGCCTTATTGTCTTTTACTATCATACACGATATGATAACTGTATTTATCCCGACTAATCTGTATCTGCAGAAAAATAACGCTATGGATATTCATTTACGGTGTATTGCAGGCAGCGGCGAAGCGAAGTAGTAATATTCCTCGGAGTCAATTTACTTCTAGTGAAGCTCTCCAACTCGCGCCATCGTTCTAAATAACATAGGTGCTCCTCAAAATCTAAGAAACATTGCGAGATTCAGTAGCCACAAGGGAGTTTCCTCAACTGCTATACTATATCGTAGACACACTGAACAGTAGCCGGCTTTTAAGGAAGTTTAGCATTCATCTTATCTCGCCATAATTATGATCCTACTCTGCCGTTATTGTTGCAGCCGATTAGTACGCTCGAAAAAACGGTCTAAATGTCTGAAGTTTTTCGTCGAGCGCGAAACGAACTCTGTCTTCGGCCGGATTCGAACCCAGACCATCATGCATCCCTAAAGTACAGCACGTAAGCTCATTGTCCATTATATAATCCATTACGTACGAATCCCACGCTATATGTTATCATTCCTACATGCTGTTTTGCGTTCTGGAAAATTTGGGAATCACGGAGTATCTATGTATGAATGTCGCAGCCACACCAACACATGAACTTAAACGTGCATAGGAACGATTTTTTTTTGTCAATATTCTCTATCATAGATAACCATATATATAACATACATTGGCATAATGTAAAGCTGATCAGAGACAGATTGTCTTTTAAAAGAGCGCACTCAATATAATTGGTTGTATCTTCACGACAAACAAAAGAAGTTTAGTCATCCGCATTTAGAAGATAAGTCTAAGGTTGTACTGCAACGGCCAAGAGTCAGTCGTAGATAAATTAAGATGCGACTGACACTTCGACATCGTCTAGTCCTGAAATGATATAGTACATTTACCCTAGAGGGCCATGGCAACAGACTGAACTTGATGAAACGAATCATGTGTCTGAACAAGCTTATAGACGCCACACGTGAAGAAATTTCGCTAAACAGAAAATAACCTTCGTGGCCTATTTCTGAACTAACACTACGTTTAAGTTCAAGACTCCAATTCAAACAAGATGGCGTTTAATGTTCGAAATCATCTCTTTGGTAGTAGATATCTGATGACATATAATTGAGAAACTGGCCGCATTTTCCGACACGTTGACGACCAAATAACCTCCTTAACATCATCACCAAGCATTTCCGAGGCTTCAGATGTCCGCCATGGATAGAATTTTACTAAACCCGCGGTCTCATGGGAACAGGCCGTGTAAAATCTAACTAGCGCCCATAAACATGCGGTCGCTATCGGAAAAGGAACGGGTCGTTTCATAACGGTGTGTGCAGCGATACGATAACTTGACACGACACGAAACTTGTGGTTTCTGGCTAACTTTTTTCAAAAGAGCTGTGCTTACGTAATAGCCTTTTTGGACGCTTGCCAAGGTAGTAACTTTAATGCTTAGCGGTAACGCAATTTGGCAGTTACACACAGTACTTTTAGACCACAGTTTTTTTGGTATTTACACACAAAATATCCCACGTATAGTACTAACCACTCGACAAGCAATAAATGCAATTATATATACTTTAATTTGGCTGGAAGAAATCCCTGTGCTTATGTGGTAGCTGTTTTATTATTGGTAGGACACTACATGAGGCCCTCATGACCTAAGCCCCGTCCACAAAACTTTCTCGGACTTAGAAGTTGCATTTCAATCGAATTGAAATCTCTACGTAAGAATCAACCTTAAAACCAGTCGATATTCTGATTATGAATGACGGTCATGACGACGTCTTTGACCACAAATTGTCAAAGCATTTACCTTTCAGAATGAATTGAGCAAGACGATCGGATTCTCCGACAGATGGTCTACTCAGGCAGTGATTTACGCCTAATACCTGATTTAAGCCGCCTATTTTAGAGCACATAGAGGTTTGGCGGGATACCACGACCCGCCCCTAAGGGTATTCCATCATTTCTTCTATGTATGTTCTTCGAAAAGATTCTTCCTTTCCGTCTCGACTTTTATATATAAACATAACATTTCTTTGTATGCACTCTAAAAGTGCATATGTACCTTTTGCTAACTTATATATATTATTGGATATATAATTACGTGACATAAAACCGCGGCTTTTTATAAACTTGCATTGGTGCACGGGCAACGCATGATGTTTCTCATGTAAAAAAACCTTTCCCGCGCATGCTTTTTTTTCGGCTGAGTCTTCAACAAGTTTTTTCTTACAGCCGGATTTAATATAGAAGATAGCTGAAACATTTCTAAACGCTTCTGATATGCTTACGTATATGTAGGAGTCCCTTGAACGACGCGCTGTCTGCAGTCACTCTCGTGGTCAGTGTACGCTCTCATAGGGAATCCGTGCGCATCGTGTATCCGCACACAGACACTGCTTGACGATGATCGTGAAGCTGGTAGTTCGATTTCTGTCTGATAAGGAAAATTGCGCGAAAAAAAACTAGTGACTATAAAATAAAAGCGAAAATTACTCGCTTACTCTATTGTATAGCTACAATAAAAAAATGCACTCACCAAAGATGAGCTCCAGCGTGGCCTTTCTGATCTTATCAGCTGTGAGGTCCGTTCTGGGCTGGCTACGGTGGCAGACAAATCCAAAATGTCAATGAAATGAAACTTTCACGAAAATCCACAAAACACTTTACAATACATTTGAACAGAGAGACAATTTGTATTCCAGTCGATGTAATAATGGATTGACTCCCATATCAGCTCCACTGGCCAATATCATCAGTTTTATCACAAATCCCGTTCGTATAACTTCGTTGATGTACGACACACTCTGTTGATCTATCGTGTCACGAAACAAATCTCTCCAGAAATAACCGATAAGAATTATTAAGTTGCTGCTCGTAGATGAGCGGGCAGACACCGAAAATTCTAAATGTATCAGAGCTATTTATATGTAAAAACAGAGTCATTTGAAACCAGGCTCAATCAAGTACGACTGTTAGCTGCCACTGTCCCTGCCTGTCACCTATCAGATCGGCCGTAACGTTTTACGTTGAGAGATGAACCTCTAGGATGCGTGTATCCGACGGTAGAGAACAGAGACACGTCAACGAATACGTATAACTGTTTATCTTCACATAGTAACAATAACAAATGAAGTTGCACATAAATTTTCTTCACAGTTACACTGCTGCGAATAATCGTTGGTTGGTGGACGCCAAGCGCTCCAATCTCTCCGAAGCACTCTGGATCACCCTTACGTTGTTTTTGACAACTAGTATCGAAGCTGTGTCGCGCACGCACCAGGACCGTTGTCTTGGTAGCGTCTATTCAAACGACGCGCCGTTCACCGGTCAGTCTTCGCTTGCTGTTCTTCCCCTCCATCGAAGGCTTCAACATTAAAGAAGATAAATAAAGCAGAGACGTACTCTATTATTTATCAGACAAACGCTAAACCCATTCACTTTTATCTTGAACAGACTAGCTCTTCGGTTAGGATTGTTAGCCTCTGTGCACTGTTCTCGGCACTGAGGATCGAATGCGCATGTTTGACCTTCCTTCCGATTCGTGATGGTGGCACTGATGCTACAGTTATTGCCACCTAACCGCCATTTGCCTCTCTTGCGGTTGCACTTTGTAGTCGCTAACGAAAAACCTGCAGCAAGAGTTTTATCACGTGACACGAACGGCTCCCCACAACTAATGCCAATTTTCTATCGCTAGATTTGCTGCTTCAGCCAAAATACAAATCATTGTATCACCAGGTTATTGTATACAGCATCAACGAAACAGGTTGGCACGTAACGTAGCACATCAGACTGTATCGTACCGGTGAAGCCAGTCAGACCCAGCGACCGAACCCTTCTTTTTTCCTCAGTGCAGAAGCGTTTCTTAGAGCTCTTCTGTACGTTCGCTCGAGAAGCAATCGCGTTAGAAACAGTCACAGCGACGGCCAACTGGAATGCATCAGCGGCAAGCAGTCGCCGATCGCAGCTTCAGAGTTTCGCCCGCGTCGAACTAATACTGGAAGCCGCTGTCCTGTATGTCTGTGATTCGTTCACTGTCCTGCTTGGTCCTGGGATTCACTACCCTACTACTGCTGCAGACGGACGGCCCGTCGTGTTAGTTTGTTTTCGAAGAGCGCGCCTGTTCAACGCCTTCTCATAGAAGCTCTGTATGCTTATGCGCCTGATACTCAAGGGACTACCCGCCCTGGCCACCCCATTGCCTTTACCGTTGGCTGGCGTCAGTTACCGGTTCGTTTCACATGTGACTCTTGCTCTAGTCTTTCTCCCTTTTCGGGGCTGCCGCCTCTCCTCACGCCTGCTCTACTACGGATGCCATTGTGGCTGCAGTTCTCCACGACCGCACTCCGCGAGTTGTTACCGAGCACAGTGACTGACAGTCGACCTTCTGTCGGCTGTGACACTACTATCGCTAATAGTACGTCTTCGTTCGTCACTCGCTGTACTGACCGCGTCGCTACGGTGCTCCGTGACCAGGGTAGGTCTGTTCGTCACCACTCGCTCGCCGCACAGATAGCAGCAGCGGTCTGAACAGCTCCAAGGCAAAGGTAGTACTATAGCAGTTGTAAGCGCGACAGCCGCGAACGGCTAATGGCTAGCGCCCCCGCGCAGCTAGACCAGTCGGTGGTGAGCGATCGAAGAGTCGGAAGCTTTACGTTCCTACAACCAGATGGCGCTCGTGAGCCGAAACGGTGTCGGCCGGGGCCGAGAAGCGCATTGCGCTGGCGAGGGCGATCCCCAGTAAGGAAGAGCGAAAGCGCCGGTCGCTTCGATAAGAGAGAGAGAGAGAGAGAGAGAGAGAGAAATATTGTAGCGGTTAGGAGTCGTTACGAATGTCACTTTTAAACGGGTGGCGCGAAACGTGACCGATAGGAATGACCGGTCTAGCGTGGGGTGAAATAGGTCCGTAAGTGACTAGGTGTGCACAGGCCGATGAGGAGACCACAGGTCAAGCTGTCAAATGCAGTGGTGACAGCCCAAGTGTACGCGGGTGCAAAATGAATACATGTGGCTGGTTTTACCACTATTTATATCGGCCTCGAAGATTGAAAGAAGGGCATTGATTATTTAACTTTAATTATTTTTTCCTTTTCAGATTAACTGCGAGAAAGTCTGCGTGTGCGAAGCAGGTCTATCCGTCTATATAATCGATATATGTTATTTATATAGGCAGCTTTCTGTTATAGTTTCTACAGGTAGCAGAGCTGATAAGGGTGTGTTAATAGTCAGGCTAATAAAGCAGTTAGGGCCTAAGCAGGTTGACAGTCAAAGCAGTATTTGATCGTAGGCGCTATTCACACTGCGTGTACGTACGTTTGTAAGAAAGCAGTGAAGTATGGCCCAAAATAACTATTTCCTTATGTAGACAATATAGGGATAAAAAAATCGCTGGTCCTCGCTAGTTATGCCAGCGTCCGTATGTCGTCCGCGGCGACAAGCAGTTTCGTCTTTTTTACTATTTTAGTGAACTTTCTAGATGATATGTTGGAAAAATAGAAATTCATCTTTCCGATTAGTTTTTGCAATTGGCTGAACTCTATAGATATCAGTCAATTAAATTTTACTCATTCACCTCTGCTGGCACAACTTCACAATATCAGAGAACCATTTAAATTGTTTCGTGTCATATCGTTTTTTTAGCAATTTTGCTGAATCTATAAAATGAATTTTAGAGATTTCTCAAATGCCTTAGAGGTGGTATCAGGGGCAATGGGCGGCTAGATGTCTATCACAATTTTTCTCGCACTCGGAGCCTCTACATGTATTGTTAAATTCGTTGAAAGCTAGCCTATTGTAGAGTCCATGGTGGAACCTATGTACGGCTAGGTCACTAATGACACATCTGTTTAAGCGATTAGTCCTTTTTCACACGTTGTTCGTCATCTCACCCAAAGCAAAGGGATCTATGAATATGGGAGCACAATATCGGTCCTCTTTCCATAGCAAGAGCTTCTTAGGCCTCATACGATCGTATACGTATTTTAAATACTATCGGCCCATTTCTTCACACAACGCCTTAGCTACTTTTAAAAATGCCTCGTGTAGTATACGCTGTGTTTATTGCTTTGCGTTTTTAATATTTCTAGATGATGCAGAGCTAATTTAACGTTCAATGATTCTTTGACAGCACTATATGCCGCTGAAGATGGTCCTACGAGACGAATTTTAGTTATGGCTAAATCGGTCTAATTTCCTAAATTCCCTTCGGAGCTATAGTAAAACTCTTAGACTTCCACAAGCGCGGAAAACCGAGTGTGAGCTTGCGGCAATATTCAACATGGCCAATAACGGAGTGAGCAACATTTTTTTCTAATGTCGTCAACAAAACTGTGGTGTCATACTTTTCTAAGATTTGCGTATCCGACAGCTCATAAATACGTCTAGGCGGACCCACCAGTGATCAGCGTCAATTCACCCATCATCTTCTTCTTAGCGTTCATCAAGCCGTTCTTAGCGTTTCAAATTAAAGTTCGACGCTCGATAATTGCAATCTTCAATATCACGACCATGATGCGTATTAATCCATGTTTAACCTATTCCTCGTAAAGGGTAGCTACGCTCCTTTTACAGTTCGGCTTCAACTCACCACTAATTCTATTCTGGTTCAAAAGCCGTTGTGCTCCCTTTCGGGTCACGAAATGCTCCATTGAGTTCGAACTCATCGGGTCAGAAAAACAATCAATTCACTATGCTGAACGTGGAATTATGGTCTTTTGGGCGAAGATAAAATGTTTAGTTCCCTAAGCACCTTTTGAGTAATACTGTTGGGCCACAAAACTCGCATCGCCCTCGGTAAAGCTATCCCGTATCGGTACGACAGTTTTCTGACCACGCGGAAGCTGAATAATAAGTGTCGAAAATGCGGGTCTTTTCACCCTACATACCCACGTATGGAGCCCAAAGTCGAAGAAAGAATTGTGACCTCAACAAACGATGGCCTAACCAATTGCACATAAAAAATCAGAAGAGGGAAGATACGCTCTAAAGTGACCATTACGTTCTTAACAACCTAACAATAAGATCCTCTATTTTTGCTATGCTTGCCATTCACTGCAGCCATGACATTCAACTTCCCTCCTGAAGAAGAAGTATTTGTTTAGTATAATTATATAAAAATCATAGCTGGGATAGGTTAAGCTAATGCTGTAAATATATAAATGAAGAGTGGCCGAACAGGTTGATATAGTGTGTGCTGTTCGACGCCCAAGTCCGGTTAAGCATCGACGCTTCGGATCAGTAACTACAGCACCAAAACCGTAACACCCCTAGAACCTGGGCGTCGCAGTCGATATCTTTCACCATTCGTCGACTACCGTTTCGCTTAAGTTCCGCGACTGTTACCTGATTCCTGTCGTTGGACGGAGTCTAGCGCTAAAATATACGAGGTACTAGACGAAATTAGGGAGGTCGGCTAGAGCAAGCATTAGCTTGAAAAACGCGAGAGTTTTAACTTGACCATAATTTTGAACCAAACGGACTTGTGTGGCTCTTGTTGTCGAAAATTAAAATTTTCTCAGAGACTAGGATCAAGCCTAAAACTAGTTTTTAAAGAAGAGGGATTGCTGTTGCTCGAAAAGCTTCTAACTTGAAAAAAAGAGTACATGGATCGAACGATAGAACTCTAGAAAAAAATGAATAATGAAAAAGGCAATGCAAACACGCGTACAATATTACAGGTCCATCTGATGGTGCGGCAGCAACGCATTTGCTTATTAAACATCTATGTTTCGAATTTTACGTCCGGTATCGACGTTAGACATTCCATCAGACGGCTGATTCCCAGTATGAAACGAACTGTGTCTATGCTCGGGAACGTGTCCCTAAGATTAGCAGGCACATACGTTACGCGCTAAGCTATCACCGGCAGGCTTACTGAATCTAGAAACTCTTCGTGAGGTAGGCTAAATTTGAAGGCTGGTATAAATCTACCTCGTTCCTCTCTGCTGGGAGATAACCATCTGCGCTGATGCTTAACTAAGCCAGTATCCAACATAAAAACTTGAAACCTTTATTTAAGAAGAGATCTTAAGAATCGCTTTGAGCTACTGCGCTACAAATTGGTCCCACTACCGCTATTATAAAACGACTTGGCTTAGAATAGAAGTAAACAAGTGCTCCCTTCACGTTTACAGTAGAAATAGACCTGGGTATATCAAGAATTTTTTCAAACGATAAGTATATAATAGTTTTATTTATGACAAGTACAATTTCATAGTCATAAATAGTGTTGCAGTAGAAGAAACGTAATATTTGCTATTAGATTCATCGAAGGCTCGGTATTTTTACGTGGTGGGTATCACAGGACGTAAGTACTAGAGCGGGCAACAAATCACTTTGCGCCGTATGGCCGGTGTAACTTTTATAGCTTTCCCATCCTTTCGGGTGGCAGCTTGCCGTGCAATTATCGGCTGGAAATATATAGGAGACCCGCTTTGAGTAGTAGAAATCGAGAAACCGCAAAATTCATCATTATGCCAAGCGCAAATTTCAGCTCTAGATGTATGTATATTATGCTCCGGTGAAGTGGACGTCCACTCAGAACTATCCTTTATGTTTGCCAGCTTGACTGGTAGATCTCAGACTACGATTTTGAAAGTGAGTCATTTCAGTTATTGTTGATTCTTTTATTCCAATACGAATTTCAATACGATTAGGTCGGTGGCGTTCCTAAAAGACCGGTGCTAGCCATCACGCTTGCTGACTTTAGCACGTTCTGATCTTGCTGTTTGACAAATGCGGGATCTACGCTGAGGAAAGAATTGCATTAACTTTTCGCTGCCTTACGCGCTTTCTGCCTTATAATTATGTTAGCTTCCTTTAAATATTAGGCCTTTCTGTGTAAACAACATATGACTATTACGACAATACGATTTGGAGCGGAGACATACTTCACTATCATTCGTTAGTTCTGTAAACGGACATACAGAGGCGATTTCTGAAATAGACGACTAAATCAAAAAGCTTACGATTTTTGGAAGTTTGTTTGCTAGGTTATCGAAATAGTCCCTAAAATTCGCTACGCTCAAAGCAAAGTTGGCATAATTTCGAAGGCCATCGAATCACTTACTAATCTCGGCGAGCAGAAATCTGCGCTGAAGCAATGCAAGCAATCGACTCATAGAGGAGCTAGCATATGGTGCCGGCCTGTCGTGAGTTGCAAACTTGAACAGTATCTAACTGGCTGGAACCGAACTCGGCAAGTTTTTACAACTTACGGAGGCCGTTTTTGATGCTTTATGGTGTTTAGTACTTAATTTGTTCACAAACACATTCCTACGAGAGCGCCGTGGTATCCACTTTAAGGTTCGAAACACGTTGATCTCTCTTTTTTTTTTCTTTATCGGTTTTCGTGGTTCGCGAGCTAGGATAGCGTTTGGATGGTTACCTTTGTTATACACTTCCCGCCCCAGCGCAGCTAATTTACAACAGTTTCTGAGCATTCTCGTATTGTACAGTATTCTAGTATGTGCTCTAAGGTAGATAAAGTATTCATCAAGGAAGTAACCGCTTCTGTTTTACCTGTGGCGGATCTTTTCTATTT